CACACACACACAGAGGTCCTGACCACACACACACACACACACACACAGAGGCCCTGACCACACACACACAGAGGCCCTGATCACACACACACACACACAGAGGCCCTGATCACACACACACACAGATGTCCTGATCACACACACAGAGGCCCTGATCACACACACACACACACACACAGAGGCTCTGACCACACACACACAGAGGCCCTGATCACACACACACACACACACACACACACAGAGGCCCTGACCACACACACACAGAGGCCCTGACCACACACACACAGAGGCCCTGACCACACACACACACAGAGGCCCTGACCACACACACACAGAGGCCCTGACTACACACACACAGAGGCCCTGATCACACACACACAGAGATCCTGACAGTGTAGAGTGGGCCTGATTATGCGTGTGCTTTGTCCACAGTGCTTGCGCCTCCTCACACACACGTTCAACAGAGAGTACAGCCACAGCCACGTCTGCGTCAGTGCCAGCGAGAGCAAGGTAGGCAGGGCCTAGCCCCACAGGGCAGCACTAACCGCAGGGCAGCGCTAACCGCAGGGCAGCACTAACCGCAGGGCAGTGTCACCAGCAGGGCAGCGCCCCCACAGGTGTCGCTAAGGAGATGTCTCCTTGTCTCCAGCAAGCGCAGCTGGATTGTCTTAGGCTCTCCCCTCTGCAGGGGGCTGGAGTTGTGGAGCAGGGGGCTGGGGTCGTGGAGCAGGGGGCTGGGGTCCCGGAGCAGGGGCTGGGGTCATGGAGCAGGGGCTGGGGTCCCGGAGCAGGGGCTGGGATCATGGAGCAGGAGCTGGGGTCGTGGAGCAGGGGCTGGGGTTCTGGAGCAGGAGGCTGGGGTCGTGGAGCAGGGGCTGGGGTCCCGGAGCAGGGGCTGGGGTCCCGGAGCAGGGGGCTGGGGTCGTGGAGCAGGGGCTGGAGTTGTGGAGCAGGGGGCTGGGGTCATGGAGCAGGGGGCTGGGGTCGTGGAGCAGGAGCTGGGGTCGTGGAGCAGGGGCTGAGGTCGTGGAGCAGGGGCTGGAGTTGTGGAGCAGGGGGCTGGGGTCCCGGAGCAGGGGGCTGGGGTCGTGGAGCAGGGAGCTGGGTTCCCGGAGCAGGGGGCTGGATTCCCAGAGCAGGGGGCTGGGGTCCTGGAGCAGGGGCTGGGGTCCCGGAGCAGGGGCTGGGGTCGTGGAGCAGGGGGCTGGGGTCCTGGAGCAGGGGCTGGGGTCCCGGAGCAGGGGGCTGGATTCCCAGAGCAGGGGGCTGGGGTCCTGGAGCAGGGGCTGGGGTCCCGGAGCAGGGGCTGGGGTCCTGGAGCAGGGGGCTGGGGTCCCGGAGCAGGGGGCTGGGCATGGAGCAGGGGGCTGGGGTCGTGGAGCAGGGGCTGGGGACCCGGAGCAGGGGCTGGGGTCCCGGAGCAGGTGGCTGGGGTCATGGAGCAGGGGGCTGGGGTCGTGGAGCAGGGGCTGGAGTTGAGCAGGGGGCCAGGGTTGTGGAGCAGGGAGCCAGGGTTTTGGAGCAGGGGGCTGGGGTCCCGGAGCAGGGGGCTGGGGTTGTGGAGCAGGGGGAGCCTTGCTTGGGTTCTAGACAACTGTGGAGATGCGGATAAGAACCGCACCCGCAGAGGCCCAGAGACCCCTAAGACACATCTTCTCTCCCGCAGCTCTCAGAGATGTCTGTCACCCTGCTTCGGGACCCGTCCATGTCCCCTCTGGGGGCAGCCACGCTCACCCCCTCCTCCACCTGCCCCTCCCTGGTTGAAGGGCGCTATGGTACCCCTGGTGTGAGGTGAGCTCTCCCTGGCCTGCCGAGGAAGCTTCTGGAACCTCAGACAAGCCAATGATGGTGGCTGAGCCTGGGCACGGGGAGGGAGAGTGGCTGGTGCGCTGCATGCTCTGCACGGGCCGCATGGGGGTGGGCTCTGGAGCGGAGGCTGCCCGACCTCCGGAGGGCAGCACCCGCTGAAACACAAATGCAAAGCCATATTGGTGGATAAAACGAGGTGGGTGGAAACACACCACAGGGCCCCTCTCCAGGGCCAAGGTTGGGGCCCTCCTGTCCCCAGCGGGTGAAGTCTGCACAGCCGCTCTCAAGGGGCTGTGCACTCTGCGCTGAAGGCAGGCCACCGGCCTGGGTCTGACGAGAGTGGGTGAAGGAGCCATCCCCTCCTGCGCATGGTTGGCTCCACAGTTTCAAGTCAGCTGTCTTTACTTTTTTTGGTCAGTTGTGGGGCTTGAACTCTGGGCCTGGCGCTGTTCCTTGCTCAAGGCGAGTACTTTACCACTTGAGCCACAGCACCACTTCCGGTTTTCTGGTGGTTTATTGGAGATAAGAGTCTCACGGACTTTCTTGCCCAGGCTGGCTTTGAACCGTGATCTCAGATCTCAGCTTCCTGAGTTAGGATGACAGGCGTGAGCCACCGGCGCCTGGCTAGTCATTTTTATTTTAAAATGCTTTAGGGTTCCCTCGTTTTGTTTTAGTTTTGGTGGCAGTATGTGTTTTGAATTCAGGCCTCAGCTCGCTAGACGGCTGTCCTGCCTCTTGAGTCAGGACCCCAGGCCCTTTTGTGCTTTCGTTTTCTGGTTGTGGAGGTTTGGGGGTTTTGGCCCAAGGTTGACGGATGGCAGATCCGCACCTCTGCCTCCCAGCAGCTGTGCTGACAGACGTGTGCGGCCGGCGCCAGCTCTCCGCTTTCCTGTCCTGCCACAGGCCTCCCGGCCCGGCAGGCTCCCGCTCAGCCTCTGCTGAGAACCCCGCGCCACACCGACATGCAGGAAAGCGGACATGCTTCTGTGGAGGCTGCAGATAGGGAGGTGGGCGTGTGTCCTCTGCACGCCCTGGGCCTTGGGGCCATGGCTGAGTCCTCCTCGCTTTGCCCAGTGGTGCTGAGCCGATGCGGTGCTCGGTGTTCCGAGGCTGGGCCGGGGTCTCAGCCAGGCAGACCCCAGGGGTTGTCCCAGTGGCTCTGAGGCAGAGGAGGCCCAGGAGGCGGCCACAGCCCAGCAAGGACCTGCATCTCTCTCTTCCAGGACCCCACAGCCCTGCTCCCGGCCGGCCAGCCCCGAGCCTGAGCCACTGTCAGAGGCTGACTCCAGGAAGCTCCCGTCCCCCGCCCTAGCGTCCCAGGCAGACAAGGAGCCCCAGCGCCTGCTGGTCCCTGACATCCAGGAGATCCGGGTCAGGTATGTGAGGCTCTACCTGGAGCAGGCGCGCCAGGCCAGCCCTGCCCAGCCAGCCTCGGGCAGCGAGGGGCCAGTGGAGGCCCCCAGCCCATGGGCCTGGCCGGCCGTGGGCCTGACCATCCTCCCGGCGGCGCTGCTCTGGGGCCAGGTGCTGCCCGAGCGGCTCTGCACTAGGCCCCGCTGTGGCCCTGCGCAGCGCTGGACACAGATGGCAGTCAGGGGCAGAGCCAGTGGACATGGCTGCTGTTTCTGCAGCTCCCTTCCTCCTCCTCCTCCTCCTTCTTCTCCTCTACCTCCTCTTCTCCTCCTTCTTCTCTACCTCTTCCTTCTTCTCCTCCCTCTCTTCCTCTTTTCTCCTCCTCTACCTCCTCTTTCTTCCTCCTCCTCCTCCTTCCTCTCCTTTCTTCTTCCTCTTTCTCCTCTACCTCCGCTTCTCCTCCTTCTCCTCTACCTCTTCCTCTTCACCCTCTTCTTCCTCCCTCCTCCCTCTCTTCCTCTACCTCCTTCTCTACCTTCTCCTCTTTCTTCCTCTTCCTTCTCCTCCTCCGTCTCCGTGTCCCAGAGATGGGCTGGCAGCTTGGCCTCTGACCTCACAGGCCGGGGTCTGCCGGGCGCCCCAGGGTGCCGTGACCGTCCTGGCCTGTGTGGTGGCCAGCACTGCTGGGAGCTGGCCTGGGGAGGTGGGCTGAGCCCCGGCGCTGGGTCTCCCTCCTGAGCCTTGCTGCCCGGCCCACAGCCCCATCGTCTCCAAGAAGGGCTACCTGCACTTCCTGGAGCCGCACACGTCCGGCTGGGCGAAGCGCTTCGTGGTGGTGCGGCGCCCCTACGCCTACATGTACAACAGCGACCGGGACTCGGTGGAGCGCTTCCTCCTCAACCTCTCCACCGCCCAGGTGGAGTACAGCGAGGACCAGCAGGCCATGCTCAAGGTGCGCCCAGCGCGGCACGGGGTCCCGGGGGGTCAGGGTCCTCCGCCGAGCCAGGGCCAGACCCCGGCTGACCCGGAAGACGGCTTTGGGGAGGGTCACGCGGCTCCGTGAGCCCCCTGCCCAGCTGAGCACGCAGTGTCCTAAAATGGCCGGGCAGAGAAGGTTCTGGAAGCTGTCTGGGTCATGGCTATGATGCCCACTAGGGGACTTTCTATTTCTGGGCAAGCCTGACTGTGCACTCAGCTGCCGCCACACAGAGAGCCAGGGCTTCGGGGAGCAGGCGCCCTGCGCGGGCGGCTCGGCTGGGGAGCGGGCGCCCTGCGCGGGCGGCTCAGCAGGGTCCCGGCGCAGTGTGACCCGTGCGGAGAGCCCTGGATGGGGCTTCGTGGCCGTGCAGCCCTGGGCCGGGGTAGGACATGTGCCCGCAGAGGGGGCCCCTCTCTGGGCCGCTCCCCGGGCGTCACCTCCCAACCCGCTCGCCTCCACAGACGCCCAACACGTTCGCAGTGTGCACGGAGCACCGCGGCATCCTGCTGCAGGCCAACAGCGACAAGGACATGCACGACTGGCTGTACGCCTTCAACCCCCTCCTGGCGGGGACCATCCGGTACGGCCGGCCAGGCAACACCCCGGGGGACCCCAGCCCGGGACCCCAGCGGGGACCAGACCTGCAGGGGCGGGAAGCACCAGCCATGCCCCACTCCTGTGTGCCACGGGCTGGGGGTGGGGTCCAGGGGTGTGGCTGGTGGGGGGTGGGATCCCGGGGGTGTGGCTGGTGGGGGG